AGCCGGCAATATGTTTTTGGTGGTATTCACTATTCCTGCATTTCAGTTCAGTTACCAGACGCAGCAAGACAGTAAGCCGCTTTATTGGCATCCTAATTTCTCTACATACCCGTACTGGTGGCTTGTCTGCACGGCTAATTGACAACTAGCAGCGCTGCAACTGTTTCCTATATGGTAGGAACAGGGGAGAGGGGGGGTCTGAGCTGTATTTTGCCGCTATAAACTGGTATAGTTGCAGGAATGATTGGGAGATATATGTTGGTGAGCCCCCCTCAATTTCTAAACGTGCTGGTTGAATTGCTTAAGTATCACGTGGTGCTCGTGCAGTCATTTGTACAACTATTTAGCATCGATTTCTTGGAATTACGGTATCTATGATTTTGGGTCGGTATCTTGATTTGGTCAATTACAATAATTTCGGGGAAAGGATAGCAGGTAAAGCAGGTAAAGCAATTTAACAATTTCAATAAATTGGGAGTCAAAATGAGGCCTTTCATCTAAAGATCTGAATACTACTGCTGGCACTAAAAGTTATAACTCTAACATCGTTTTGATTTTTATGATCCCTAGACATCTAATTGCTAGCTAATGGGTTTCATTTGACTAAAAGGTCGTGTTGTTGAATTGCCATGTTCATTGAACGCGTTAATTCATAAAGACAACCCCGACATATTTAAATTATATGGTTTATGCGAGTGAAGATCCTAATGGAAGCTTTTAAATTTGCAGCTTGATCGGATATTATATTTGACAGTGAAATTTTGGCATGAGGCCAAATCTCACAAACCAAGTACCTGTCATTCCCATTACATATCATTACATAAAACCTCCCACCAGGTCAATCTTTAAATCTTTCTACGACAAGGGCCTGAGATATCAAAGGGGGGTGGGATATTAAACCGCCCTACGACACAACCTGCAATCATAATGATAACTCTCATTAAAGTGTTTTAGCGGATGATAATATCTACAGCTTGCCGGGTAGGGATTATATTTGTAGAGTGGTTCTGCCCAACCTGGCCACTCTTAAAGACCGACTAAAAGGGTGGCTCTGTTATTTGGGGTTTGTGAGGTCCATTATCAAGTACTTATTTCAAAAGGTCTATTAAGAGATTATGTGCTAAAGTTATTCAACTGCATATATTATTTGAGCACCAATTTGGCCACCCATTTAAACTGCAGACTGAAGCATTAAATTAACCAGTTAATAGTTCAGATTTGACGTCAGTCCAACTTTTTGAACCTGCAAAATGCAGAATATTGTAGATTTTTCTAGTTATTACCATACCACGCGAAATTGCTTGCAACTTTTTTAAATGAGAAAAATATATCAATTATGCTCGAAAAACGCTCCATGTGACCACTACTACAAAAATAAGTACAGAACATACACACCGATGTTGATTATCTTTAAATCGTTAATTGCACTTTCGATTGAGAACAATCACCATTGTCTCCAATCTCCACCAGTACACTAGAATCACCACACAACTCGTCTCATCGCCGCATGATAACATAATTTTTTTAAACCGCCGAATTATTCCGTTTGCAACAAGCGTGACTGTAGCTGTAACGTGCGAAGTAGTGTATTATAGTACATCTTATTGTAAACATTTACAGATTCAGCATGGCAGGCGAGAAGGGCGTATCCCAAAATCGAGCACTCAAGCATTAAATATTCCTCGGTGCATGGTTGTTGGATGATGGCCATGAGATTGACTAGAGTTCTTTGGGCGGTGGAGATGCTTATTGTTGTCGCTCTTGGCCCTCATAATATGCATTATGTCGGACAAGCATTAAATACATTTGACCCAGTGCATGGTTGTTGGATGACGGCCATGTCATGGGATTGACTTTAGTTCATACGGCGGTGGAGATGTTTATTGTTGTCGCTCTAAGCCTGGAAATGCTCGGCATTCTTTGTATTATTCCCACGTCATAGTATTATAATATCATGATCATAGACATGTTGATTGTTGGGAGATACTCAGTATTTCTAGCCCAAAGGAGCCGGAATATTATAAATGTGGAAAATGTAGGGAGGAAGAAAGGTTGATATCTTCCTCTTAAAACGTAATCACTTCGGATGTAATTGAATATTATACAATAGATAAGGCTTTAATGACAGGTAAAATGGTATTAGAAGTTTGTGATAAGGAATTCTGAGAAATTGTAATCTTCGTATTACCAGTTTGACCGGTTTTTTTTTATAAAGATAAGATAACCGTGTCTAAGTTTTGTAATTTTTATGAAGGACATTACAAAAACTATACATTTGCTGTTGAGCATCTTTTAAGAAAATGGTATGAAATGTAGACTGTAGGTAAAATAAATACTCGGCCTCTTTACCAAATATTCTAGATTCACGGAAAAACCGATAAATTCCTCTTAGCATGAACTAGACCACATCTCTTTAAAAACCCTCACTCAAATACTGCAACCTGACCAATACTCCACAACCTCCACATTCCACAACCACGTGACACACGCCCACCAATCAGCTCACCTCAAATACCTCTTATACCCCCAGAGACCAGACACTCAGTCGACATGGGAGGTCGAGTTTATAAACACCAGCCCATGTTATGACTCCATCCCTACTCAAACAATCCTTCTGTGCGTTCTATTGGGAGTATTGGCAATTCATTACTATTACAGGTATTATTCAAACCTACCTGGGATGTTTGTAAACAATCTTGAGTACCCGACCTGATTTTGAGGGGTCTTGTTACTGTGACGACCTGATAGATACGGACGGAATGGCATGTTGGTATTTTGCCTATACAGATGGAATGGCATGATGACCGTGATGGCGTGGGAAGATTAAAATGATCTAGTCGTTACTCTGCAAGGAAGCGAGAACGTTTATCACAATTTTCAAATTATGTTCCAAATTAACACCTTTTCCAAAGATTCAAATCACTTTGCAGATCACCAGGTAATTCTACTCAACGAATGACACATGGCACAGGTTAGTCAACCACAGATTTAAATTTTCAACACTTCTTCCATTCTACTCATCCCCCAGTCATGTTAGAGAGTTAGACCAATCACAAACCCACCTCCACCTCCCAAATGAGGTAGGTAATCATGCCATCTCCGAGTAATGAAACAACCACGAGGAGATCCGCACGGGCAATTATAACACCAGCTCCGACAGCGCGGGGAACCTATATTTTGTCATGACGTTATTGAGATCTGAATGTTGGTCACGTGACCAGTGTTTCTCATCACCACACTGAGGGACGAGTGTGTATGGTGAGAGAGGGTTGCTGCTCCACTCTCTCTCTCTCTCTCTCTCTCTAGAGCACCCCTTTGTATACACATATACCTAGGGACGCTCCTACACGTATATAATGAACAATCATCATGAAGGTCAAAGTTTCCCTGATTGACGTATATATATATATATATTTCATGGCTGGACTTCTACACAATAAAAGAAAGCGGTTGTGATTAGATCTTCGAAAGTCTTTGCATCGTTTATTTACATCAATTCTCAAATTATTTGTTATATAGTAGTGTTGAAAGTATTAAAACTATATATATATATATAATATATATATTATAATTCCCATTGTGTAGGGTAGTGACGCAAGCAAATTACCTTCGTAACGACCGTATACACCGGTTCGATGTACGTGGTTTACAATAGCGTATGGGAGAATTGCTATTACAATAACAGACTGTCTTAACCATCATTAGCCGGGTAGATTCCAGGAAAAGAGCTCGCCCTGTTCTTCCTGCTGTGGAGCAGGTATAATATTGTGATTATTACTCAGCATTCCAATAAATTTAGGGAGGCGACGACTAGGGTTACGTGGTTCAGAGAAATCATTCACTCCGGAACATTTCAACAGTTAGTGTTACTTCAAAAAGCAATCTCTCGAGAGGTATTAGATTTTTAAACGTTACGAGAGCGCGGAAAGACCACGCCCGCCTCTGAAAAATATAAAATTTTACTCAAAGTCAGATTGTTACATGATGAACGTTTGAGAGCATGTGATGGTCGGCCAGGCCAAGGAAGCCGTAATATCTTTACCATGACATCAACAACACAACACACCAGAAGTTACACTTCTCTCTACTTCTCTATAATCTGTAGTGTTAGAAAATAGGGGCCTGTTGTCATCTGATGCTCATCTGAACTGAAATCATGATGAAATTTACACCAATTTACGTCGGTACGTGGCCTGAAATGCGATTAAATTTCATCTCCATTCCCGAGGAGCGAGGTGTGTGTGTTACCCTGTGTTTTCCGGGTGATGATCTTATTTTTCCCCTAATTTCATTTCATGAGGTCATGACGTCACTATGCTGTAACACAGACCAAACTAACCCTTAAGCTATTATTCCTACCAAGCTGTTGATTGATGACTGATGAGGTCTCTCCTTGCAGGACCTGACATATTGACCCAACAACTTGGCAACATTCCAGAAATCATGCCAGACATATCCGGACCGTGCAACATAATGTCTGGGATGTGCAGCGCTGTATGTGATTGTGATTGCTACATTTTATCTATCAGATCTGAGCTGTTGACACGATTTAGACGTGGAACATAGATTAGAGTAACAATTCTTATCGTGTGATAATCGTGTGATAAGGTTGGCTGGCGGACTGTCGCCTGATCCCGAATCAACACATGAAATAAAAACCGGGTGATCTCGATACTATCGGCGTAAACAAAGGCGATATCCAGATAACCCCTAATTAGATTAGAGTTTCACTCCAGCTCACACGTGTTAATAGGGCAGTATTGAGGTTGGATTCCTGGGTTTCAGGGTTTGTATGAGGTTTCCTGGACTGGCAAGGCTTTCGATTTGCTACAGATATTACACGGTTTTGCGTTTCCTGTTGACATATCTTAACGGCCCATGGGAATGGTTAATTCAATTTTCAATGGGATAAGATAAAATTGATAATCATAATCTTGTCTTAATGGTATCCATCCAAATATATTACAGAAGGTTCTCAACAAAATGAGAAATGAAGTTACCTCTAGAGTCGAGGGAATGGTCAGTTAGTTAGAGGGAAAACTTTCCGCAAGAATGGTTTCACGTGCACATGCTCCAGGTTACCTCTTCCTGATGCAACTCCTGAAATAATAATTTTTAGTTATATCTTCGATATTTGAAGGTGTAAATCTGGGATTAAAAATGTGCCAATTTAATGATATCTTTGGTAATGGTCTGTTATATTTATTCCTAGCATGTTGTAACTCATTTCTGATCTAGTATCAACATATTACATTTTTTTAGTTTTAGCAACCTCTGAAAAAGACAAAATGTCAATAAGGATGAGAAAAGATGTAATGGATTCAGAATTAGGTCATCTATTTATGTGACGTCAATGAAGTGCAATGAATGTAAATGACATTGATGTTATGCAATGTTATGGCAATGTAATGAAGCTTATTTAATATTTAAATGCTACACCGGTAACCCTTTAACTGATGTATAAGTTAAGATTACCAAGGCCATGAAAGTTTATGTGAATGTAAAGGTGTGAAAGCCAGCAATTAAAACATCAATGGCCATTGGCCAAAAAATAAATGGCCAAATCAATTATTTACGAACAAATCCCTTGCCCCCAATTAAAAACCATGGAGTGTGTTGATTGTTGATGATAATTAACCTTAATTAAAAAGCCTCGTAAAACACGTAAAATAAATATAAATAAATAACAAATAAATAATTGATAAAGAGAGTGAGAGAGGGGCGGCCCAAGATTAAGATATTGGATCTCACAGGCCATGATTTGCAATATCTTAAACTTGACTCATTATTACTTAACTACTTTATTTACTGTGGTGCTACTGTGGTGGGGAGTGTATGGATCTTAAAATAAAGTATTACATGGTCTGTTAGTTTTCACTAAGTGTGAAATTCTAGCACCGTTAACCGTATGACCCTAGTCTTCCATGGGGCCGGGGCCATTGTCTAGAAAATAACAAAGGTTAGTAATTAAGGCCGGGAGCTAATTTTTAATATTAACTTTTTATCAGCAGTTGTAGAAAGATAGTTTAAGGAACGAAAGGAAATGGTAGACCATCATTAGCTTTAATTTTATATGGTAAATTTAAGTTTGTGTATTTAATTGGACAATAACCTGAGAACAATCACTGATATTATCATCGATGGTCTTCAAAGGACTTTTATGGTCGATCTGGCGCCAACACGGCGGATACAATTAGTGTTTCTACAGTGCAGTTGTTAAGATATTCTTCTTTAAACTTCCCAAAAGTTCAATATTGAACAAATTCTGGGTCACATTGTACAAGCTAAAATGATCAAATCCGACCATAAATATAATATCTAGCTTAGACCCCTCTCTTGCAACTGTAAACATTTTGCCGGTTCTACCTCACTCTGAATATTATTATTCATAAACTTGTCTCCTGCCTATAGATCGGAAGAGTTATATCATAATACAATTATAAAATGCTCATAGCAATGGTTTGTCATATGCTCACATTTTACACACACAAGCTGGTAACTACTAACAGCTAAGTACAAATCTAAAAGCTCATGTGGCTATACGATTACTGAGTACATAACGGTTGTTGATTACACTGGCAGTCTCAAGCTCTGGCCAGAGTCCAGTAATCCCAGCAATGTCTGGCATGTGTCCAACTCTGCACGTGTTTGGGTCCAGCCATGATGTATTAGATAGTGGTTGCCGGTTGCACGTGCCGGGCAGGGACCCGAATGGCAGATGATTGCTGAGTAATACGCACTGATTATCGAATGAGGTAATCGAGCATCATGCACTGTACAATCTACATTTCTAGATCACATCAACCGTCAATTCGTCCGATTCTGAGCATTCTTTCACTGCTAAATTTGTAGCTTAAGTATTCAGAGCCAAGTAACAGTGGCTATGGAATGCTTGACTCAGAGCCAAGTAGCTTAACAACTGCTCTGGAATGCTTGGCTCGTGCCCCCTGACACAGACGCCTATAAAATTTATCAAATGCTAAGTGAAATCATTAATTGTATTACGTAGAACATAGACTGAGATAATTCTTATCAAAAGCCTTTAAAAATCGCAACCTACAGTGAAACTTCAACCTCAAATAGCCTTTAAGAATGATTACTTCCGGTAGAACTTGAACTTCAAACTCCGACCAGTTTTTACATATCGAAACACTTCCGAGAATAACTTTTTCAGATAAAATATACTAAATGTATCCATATTGTCGCCAAAAATAAAATAACCGCACCGGTCTGATTGTAATCTGGTCTAGGCTAGCTCGTTTGGAGGTCGGTATTGAACGGTATAATAATGAACTCTACATATTATGAGTATTAAAAGCGTCTACCATCCACGACATTCCAAAATTTGAAGGAGTGGCACTTAATCATAACCTCTCACGATCACTCTCGATCTACAGACTTAAACGTTACGATAGGTAAACTGTTTGGAAGATGTTTCTCAACCTTCCCATATGTTCTGATAGGTCAGCTCAAAATAAACTCTGATGTCGGAGCTGATCAGAACCTATGGGAAAGTTGCGCAACATCTTCCAAACAGTTTAACTATCTTGCAGTTTATATCTCACTATTCACTATCTAAATTGAGATTGATGGTACTAGAGCAGAGGTTATGATTAATTGCCACTCCTTCAAATATAGGATCGTCATAGATGGTAGGATTGCTCCACTTCTCTCCGCCCACACAGAGGGTGCTGCAACTGCAAGATTCTCTGGCATTTTGCCCTACCTTGATTTTAAAAGTTTGCAGAAGCCTGCTGCAACTGGCTCCTCAGGTTGAACTCTGCAGACTGCAATCATGTATTAGATTTGACATAAACGCCAACATCAAAAACGTCAAATTTAGCGACTTTTAAATCAAAGTTTGGCGGCAGAACCCTTCGCAGGTAAGTTACTAAATTAGGCTGTCAACCGGCTTGATATTGTACATTTACCAAAATGTTTGATTAAAAATCAACTCTTGGTTCCATGATTAAGACTCGATCGAATGTACAGGAACAGTGTTCTCTGTACTATTTAGAGTAAAACTTTCTTCACTAAAAAATCCAATCTCACAATTTATGTTATTACTTTTGTTTGAGTAGCTCGCCACTTTCCGTGAATAATGGTAGAAGTTAGTGCCTTTTGGCAACCGTTTATGATCTCTCAGCTAGTTTGGGGGCAACTTTTCCGGTCTAGACTCAAATTCACGATTTACGTTATTACTTTTGCCCTTTGAGTGCCAGTTTCAATATGGAATAATGGACGTCGAGAAAATGAGCCAAGATGTGACACAAATGTCAAAACATCGTAAACGTCAAATACAGCAATTTCTTTTTGATTAAATTTTGGCAGCCGAGTTTCGACAAAACCAGCCGCGAATAAGTTGCTGAATTAGACTAGATCAGCTTGACAGTTTACATTTACCAAAATCATCTCTTCTACTCCCAATCTTTATAAATGTGTTTAACTTGGCTCCCATAACGACTCGAGCAATATTCAATTTTTCTTTGGCCCACAAAAAAGCCAGAAATTTTACATATTAACCGAAGAATTGTGGCTGACCTTCGAACATATCAAAGGAAATACTTTAAATATTTGTTAAGTGGGTATGATGAAGTCAGAGGAGGTACCAATGGACTCAGCCCTTTATTTTAAAGTAAATACTTATGACTTCGTGGGCAGTCTGACCGTCATACCACCGTCACCCAGAATTAGTCGGTTAAATTTAACATTTTAACCGAAATAAAGGCCTTCATTGTTCACATTGTTCTTCTTCTTGGACGGCCGTGATGTAAGTTGCAGTTTAGAGTCTCAGACAAGTGGTTACAAAATTAGTTAATCGCTACACCTCCCCAAAGAGGATATAATAGCAAAAATCTTTTAGTTTCTGAGAACCAATAATTAGATTGGTAGCTATTTTACCTCTTAAATAATACAGAACCAAATACCAATAGTCCGTACTGATCTCATAGGATTCTCAATATTACAGTTTGGAGAAACAACAGATCTGTATTTCCTTACCATACTTCCGGAGAGGACAACATTACAACATACGATTGATAAATTCTCCGGTTAACATCATTTCAGGTGGCCCGGACAGCTCTTCTGACCCCTTCAGGGTTGTTAGGATGAGTGGACTGTAGTGAGTGCTCTACGTCATGAGTAGTACTGAGCCCAGCCCCCAGCACTTCGAATTATTCAGAATCTCGACCATTATGTTGCATATTCAGTATGCTAAACACTAATATTCCTAATCATTATCCAGAAGTATCTCGTACACAAGCTCACTTATTCAGAAAACAGCTCTCGTAGATCCACATGACACGCTGGTAGACGACAGACTTGTGGACCTACATCACACACTGTTATGGTGTTTAGGGGGTCCAGTGTTTACTGTTTTCTGGGGAACTACACATGGTGTGCAGGACTAGGGATAGCAGCCGCAAGAATGGGGAGGCAATGCTCAATGATCTGTCAACATGTGACAAACTATACAGGATACCCCAAATACGAAGATGACGCCACCGCTGATGACATTGTGAGCAGTTACTCAAAACAGACAGCTGAGCCAAAATTCGCGGGAAAGTTTAGTAGGAGAGGGGAGGGGCATAACATGATGCAGAATTATGCAGAATTATGCCGGGTGTACCCTTATAAATGGGTTTTAAAATTAAAAGTTTCATATTTTATTGGTTAAGTGTCTCTGATTACGCGGCCAAAGTCCCATGGTATATGTATACCACCACAATGTTTGGGTTGTGGTCCTAAACCTTAGTTTGAGTAGCTCGCCAGTTTCCGTAAAGAATGGTAGAAGTTGGTGCCTTTTGGCGACCGTTTATGTTCCCTCAGCTATTTGGGGGCAATTTTCTCCGGTCTAGACTCAAATTTTCAGGAGTTATGTACTTTTAGTTTTGGATTTTGGGAATTGGGTGCCAATCTCTATATATGGGATAATGCGTCGAAGAAATGAGCTAACAGATTTAAGCGAACAGAAAATACAAAATCTCCTTCTTTTAGGCACTGTTAAGATCCACAGTGAATCATGACATATAACCTTGCTTCAACGTACACTTTACGTAAATTATGTGCGGGAAATATGAAATATTTATGCGTATATTCCC